GTGAAGAAATTGTGAAAAACGTAAAAAATAACCCAAAACAGACTCCACCACACCCTGGTGTGGTGTCTGCCATGGGTGTGGCAGAATCTGTCCTGTCTGCTATGGGTGTGGTCTGCGCCACACCCTGGTGTGATAGAATCTGTCATGTCTATCATGGGTGTGGTCTGCGCCACACCCTGGTGTGACAGACTCGTTTTTAGAATCCTAATCTATTTGGGATTGAGTTTTGTTATAAAAAGAACCACGTTTTTTAGGGGTTCTTAAGGAGAGAAAATGAGAGAATTAGCATTGTTTTGAGCACTTTGAGAGGGAGATATTGTGAGGGAGTTGAGAGCTTTGGTTAGGGTTATATTTGATTGATTTTGTGAGTTGTAACCCGTTGTATTTCTCCTCCATATAGTGAAATCTCCTCATCCTCTCCCCGTGGACGTAGGCAATTGCCGAACCACGTAAATTCCTGTGTTTTTGTGTGTGATTTTTGTCGTTATTTTGTGAATTGCACTTGTGTTTGGTTTTGGTTTTCTTCTCTCATCGCTCACCGACTCGTTTGGTTGTCGAGCACGCTTCCGCACGGCGCGCAACAGGCATGACCTTTCTAAAATCGAAGTACACTTGAGTCATTTTTGAAATACTGCAGAGTAAACTCCATTACTAGTATCTTGCACGAAACAATACAAAGAGGTATTCATCATTCTTACCCTTTCATCTTGAATGTGGAAAGTAAGTTTGCATATGTACTCTTTTATTCTAGTGACCCTCTTAACACAACCGTTCGTTTTCTTAATGCAATACAACAATAAATTTTTTTTCTAAAAAGTAGATTGTGGTGGAGTGTTGATGAAAAGGATGTTGGGTTGGTAAGTCAGTAGTAGTAGTAGAATGAGATGGAGGTAATGAGTACGAGAAGATGTGGTGTACAAAGATGGAATTAGAGGAAGGGCAATGCAATGCAACAATGTTGCTATTAGATTTGTCCCTNGCGAGAGATAAAAACCGTTGAAGAAAAGGATTCGTGGAAAAAGAGTAGCCGAAGAATTCTACGGAAAGAAAACCCACTCAAACAAATAAAATGGGGGGTCAGATAAAAGACCTCTGAAGTGTACATTATGTTAACAATTAAAAACAAATCTATCTACTAAGTTGCAAATCATAAGTATTGTTTGTTTATCTACTAAGTTGCAAATCATAAGTATTGTTTGTTATGTCAACTTGTAAAATACTACCATATGCATGTGCTTTGCACATGGACATATTTTCTGTATTTAATACTATGTTATCTAATTAATTATATATAAATATTTTATAAAGTTACTTTATTACACTATTATTAAAAAAATAAGTTATACTATTATTAAGTTATACTATTATCAACATACATTTAATAGTTACTTAGATTTGCTTATTATTATGTTATTAAACAATTTATTTAGGAGTATAATTATTAATTAATTATGTAATCATTAGTTTAGGTGACATATTTGAAATAATTAAATCATTTATATTATTAAATATTTATGCTATGTGGATATTTTATTACAACATTAATTAAACAATGGCAATAATTCTTAATATTATATGACTTCGTGCAGTAAAGAATATTATCTTGTTTGATAATTTTTTGATTAAAATCTTGTTTGATAATTAACATTGTTTTAGTAATAAAAATGTGGATGTTATAAATTAAAAATACATTTATTTATAAAAAATACTTTATATAAAAGTATTGGATCCTTAAAAATTATGAGATATTTACTTTCCAACAAAAAGTGCATGCCTCATAATTTCAAAGATCCAGCGTTTTTATATAATGCAATTTTCCTAAATAAAAATATTTTTAATTTATAACATTAATTTTTATTACGAAGATGATATTTTAACGTCGAGCTAGGTATTATTTCTTACAATATGAAGAATCAATCTCTATTTATAGTATTACTAATAATTATAAATTTACTAATATTTTATTAAATAAATAGTTTTACTATTTCATTACAATTAATAACTGCTTATGATAAATTATAATATATTTATGAATTTTATTATCATTATAAATTATTAATATATTCAAGTGAATGGCCAAATATTTTTGGAAAATAAAGAGAAAAGTATATGTCTCATAAATTTCAAGGATCCAATGTTTTTATATAAAGGAATTTTCCTAAATAAAAGTATTTCTAATTTATAACTTTCAAATTTTTATGACATAAAAAATCAATCCCTATTTATATTATTTTTAATAATTATAATTATGTACAATAATTTATTGAATAAATAATTTTGCTACTTTAGATAGTTAATAATTCTTTATAGTAAATTGTAAATATTTATGAATTTAATTATCATTATAAATTATTAATATATTTTAGTGAATGATCAAATATTTTGAGAAAATAAAGAGGTGCATAGTTAATGAGAGGTTATGGATCATTAATTTTATAAATAATAGTATAATTGTGAGTTAGAGAGGGTGAAAAAGGAAATTAAAAGTTTTGATATGGATATTCTCTTTTATAAGTAGTAAGTATAAATATAGACATAGATTATGACCAAAGAGTAATTTTGTTGCAATTCTTTAAAGTAATAATAACTAAGCTTTACTTTTTTGTAGACTACTTCCGTACTACCATATACTCTCAGAGACGGTGGGGTCATCAATTATTCATCAATTTGATGGCAATCCAAATGGAAAGGCCCTGCATTTTAATGTGTAACAAGGTAGCTAAGTAGTTTAAAAAAGTATAATTTACTATTAATTATCCATTCTTAAATATAATTTTAAAAACATTTTTTGGTCGAATACTTGTATACATATAGCAATCATATATTGGAATTATTTTATTCCTAATTAGTGCAGCTTGAGCTCATCTTGTTGTTACCAAAGATTCATCCTATATGCTCTTGGACGTGTCATTTTTATTTTATTTATGCAATTTTCATATCATGCTGCTTATATACTTTTAAAACTATACTCTTCTACCCATGGCTCATCTTGTTGTTGGAAATTTTTTATAACCTTATAATCTGTATCCATAACTAATATCATAAACATCATATGTAATTCCATACTCGAAACCTATGTTTGTCTAGTTTTCATAATTCTAAAAGCATGTGAATAATTTTTGTTTTTTGCAATTTACAAACACATTTCTCATTTATTCCATTTTAATATATTTTCCCCCCTTCATTTTATTCGGAACAAACCCTACCCCAACGTCCTACCTTGCCACCGAACTCCCCCTCACATGATGCATTAAAAATGGCCAGTAGACAGCCCCTATCACTCATGCCCCGGGGCCCACGTGTCCACTCGCAACCCTCCTCTTCTCAACCATATCCAATCAATATAGTTCACCATCAATCTCTTTTTTCGTTTTGCCATTTATTATTATTTCCAAAAATATCCCAATTTCTCGTCTCAATTAATGATCAAGAAAAAATATAATTAGACTTGTCAATTTATCGAGTTGTTCTACAGAACCCGAAATCATGGGACCCAAGTGGAGACAGTTGAGGTGTCAACCCCTGGGTGCATGATCTACTGTAGATCATGCACCCAGGGGTTGATACCTCACCTGTCCCCCCTTAGGTCCCATGATTTGGGGTCCCCAAGGAAATTTTCTAATTTATCATATCTTGATGATGGTGCCACATAGACTTTGGACGTATTAGTTTAAACGCATACAAACTCTAGAAGCCATATTTTCTTTTCCAATCTTTAGTTAAGTAAAGAAAAATAAAATGAAATAAAGAAAGAAAGAAAGAAACGCGAAACATGTTTGCTTAACGAACTTGGAAAGCTTTGTGATGTGATGCGCGAAGGAGCGGAGCCAGTGCCGTTGCAAGCGGACGCATGCTATTCTTATTTGAATCTGAGAATCTTTCACAAAATAAAATAGGATGGTATTGGGATGGTTTCTCAGTCTTACAGATGGTTTTCTTATTGACGTAGCTTCCCAGTCTTGTAATTGACACAGTTCCTAGCTAATAATTTTCATTTTAAATATTTTTAAAATTTAATGATAATTTGATGGTTGTAAACTTAATTTAACCTCACCCCATTCTCTCAATTAAAAATAGAAGCTGAACCTCTCATGCACCTTGCATATATAGTTAGGACCTGAGCTCAATTTGAGCGCTGCATGGATCAATATAGATAAAAAAAACACATAGCATTTTAAGTCATGTTTAAGATGGGAGCTAGGAGATTGAGAATATATATGTAGAGGACAGTGAGAAATGGAGCAGTTTTAGAAGTCTGACACTGATGAGGGAATGTTCCGCGCGTATTTAATCAATTGTTTGAATATATATTTCGCTTTAGATGAATTAATTAATGAATTTTCTAGCTAGTTTATCTTTAAGTGGACCCACGGAAAACTTGAATGTACACATGCTCACTTAGGCTAATTGATATTTTTCTAATAAATTAAGTAGTTTATGTTTTGTGTTAAAAAAACATGTTATTTTCTAATAGAGGGACTGTATGATATTTTCTAATAATAAACTAGTCATGTCAATTTTGTGTGATTTGTCACTCAAAAAAAAAAAAAAATTACGGCAACCTCTTTCTGAAAAAAGAACTAAAACACTCCATCATCGCGATTCATACCAAACCTGCAATCCCCTATGACTCAGTCTTCAATATGTCAGAGCTGGAACCAACGAACTTTCTCATAAAGTACATATCATACAAAACAGGTGATAGGAGATTTAGTATAGTTGCGGTTACAAGAAATATTAATAGAGTAAGTAGTTTTTTTTTGTATATTTTCGGATAAGCTAGCATACCTTTGTAGGACTCGCATCGATCCTTCGCTCCATGACTCCATCTAGGCTTCGCGCATACTCTATCACCTCACCTAGCTATATGGTATGAGAAATTAAATGAGAAATTGCGTGCGCACCATTTCACAACAGAAACTATTAACACCCACACCTAACTAGTCAGCCAAGTAGTTTAGTAGCATTAATAATGAGCACACACCTCTACCCTCTACTGTCAATGCCAAACGATCCCGATCAAAATTTGCCTCTCCCTGATTTCTCTCTCTTTCCTGAAAACAGTACATCTCTTCAATTTCTGTTCATATAACTAACCCTCACTCCTCTCTCATCGATCCCCATCCTTCACACAAAGAGAGAGAGAGAGAGAGAGAGAGAGAGAGGATGAGCTTAGTAGGCCCTGATGACAACAACCATGAGGAAACCCACAAGAAAAATGGAGGAGGAGAAGAGAGCAAGAAGGCACAAAAAGTCCCCTTCTTGAAGCTCTTCAGCTTTGCTGACTCATGGGATTATCTCCTCATGGCCGTTGGCTCTGTAGGAGCTTGTGTCCATGGAGCTTCAGTGCCTGTCTTCTTCATTTTCTTCGGCAAGCTCATTAACATCATAGGAATTGCTTACCTATTCCCAGCTTCGGTTAATGATAGAGTTGCCAAGGTGATGGTTTGCACAAGGGTTCAGATCGTATTCACTGAAATTTTCAATTTTAGAACAAAGCAGATGTCGCTGCAGATTGAGCTAGCGTTCTTTTTATTGCCAAAATTTAAACTATATATTTAACACAATATTTTTTTCTCCTTAAAACTCACTTTAGACGTCCCTCCAAAAGAATTTGAAATCTGAATAATTTTGATATCATCTAACTTTTCTTTTGTCCAGTATTTTAAAACTCAAAAGTGGAAGTGAAAAGCGGGGAGGAAACTGAGGAGTCATTAGATGCTGTAGTAAAATTCATTATGCAACTATGTACAACAAGTATATACATCACCTTCAACTTCTTTTTATAATTATGTTCTCTTTCATTTGATTTGCAGTACTCATTAGACTTTGTTTATCTGGGTATTGTGATGTTGTTCTCATCATGGACTGGTGAGCGCCGAATTTTTTATTTATATGATTTTGTGTATAATAGTATCGAGTCTATTCAAAACAAAGTAATTTTAATCATGATTTAATTATAGTCATGTTTTGTTAGAGGTTGCGTGTTGGATGCACACTGGAGAGAGACAAGCAGCAAAGATGAGGCTAGCATACTTGAGGTCGTTGCTCGATCAAGATATTAGTGTGTTTGATACAGAGGCTTCAACTGGAGAGGTGATCAACGCAATCACTAGTGATATCATAATAGTAGAAGATGCCATCTCTGAGAAGGTAATTATGCTAAGGGTGTTGCTACAGGGACCCAAATAGGGAACCCAAGGCATGGGACAGGTGAGGTGTCACCATCCGGTTGCATGATGCACTGTTTATGAACAGTGCATCATACAACCGGATGGTGACACCTCACCTGTCCCATGCATTGGATCCCCTATTTGGGTCCCTGAGGCATTAATGTTATGCTAATAATCATGTTTAGTTAAAATTTCTTGCTCTCTTTTTGCATCATTCTTATGTTCTTAAGTATATTTGTGGTTTTCACTTTTCTGGTGTCTCAAATTAATCTAATCACGGGTGTTTGGTGACGGAGCAATAATATGGGGAGTTTGCAATTCATTAATTATAAGGATGAACAAGTTGGTAGAAACAATTGCACCGTTCTTTGCCACATGTATTGCTTGAATGCGCACTACACGTTGGTACTTTATGATAAAGACGTAGGTTGTTTCGTTTAAGATAAGGGGGTGTTTGGTTGCATTATTTTTGAGAAATGTTTTCTCAAAAGTACTGACGCATGACATTTATGTAATTAAGAGTTTTCTATACATTTCTATAAACTGTGTTTGGCTCCAAAAAAATTTACAGAAATATTTTCTGTAAAGTGCCCAAAAGTACCAAATTTTATGGAAATTGATTTCCTTCTAAAATGGGAGGAAATCTCTTGGAAATCTGACGCATTCATTATTTAAATAATAAAACTCATTAACTCTTTTCTACAAAGTTCTCACTTTTCTATAAAGTTGGTGGTGTTTGGTTACATTTCTATAAATTATAGGAAATGTTGCTATTTTCCCAAAAGTTATTTCTCATTTTCTTGTTTTGAACCAAACAAGCACATACAAAAAATAAGAAAATTTGTACTTTTTAACTTCTCAAAACTTTTCCTATAATTTTTTTAAGAAATACAAGGAAATCAAATTTGGGATGGAAAACATTTCCTATAATTTATAGAAATGTAACCAAACACCCCCTAAGTTGATAAACAAGTGCTATTTTCTGTTGCTTCTTAGTTCAAGATTTGATTTTTATGAACTACCTGTTGTCATGTCTTATACTTTATTTTGATTTTAATTAAAGAGGCTCATCTCGCTCCTTGTTTTGGGAAAAATATTCAACAAATACGGTGACTTGGTCCTAAATATGAGATCTTCCCCAGCCATCAACCGAGAGAAAATATTGAGCGGTTTCAATTTATTTTGTTAATATTCAACTGAATATCTACTATTAAATTAATGAACTTGTGGATTTGTATCAATATTATCATTTAAAAGGTATAAAATTTCTAGATACGCTATTAATATAACTGACCAAAATCACCTTCAACTTATACTTTATTATTTTTAGTATCAATTTTTTGGGAACTTTTTAGTCTTTGTTTTAAGGGTCTTTGGAATCTCCTTTATTGGCATAACTATCCCCCATAAAAGTATTAGAAGACCAACAGAAAAAACTAGCTAGCAAATTACAATTGCAATCTGGATATAATCACAATGAGTTTAATTAAACATGACTTAACATTACTGTGATTGAGATTGCAAAGTTGATTGAGTATAGTAAGAGACAATGTTCAATTTTAAAATACCAAGCGACTATTTTAGAAATAAAATAATTCCTATAAAAATTAGAAATAAAAGTATCACTCAATAAATATACTTGTCTTTAGCGATTAGACAATTGAAACATAATTTTCTTTAAAGATGGTTACATATTCAATTTAGTCCAATTGCATAATCTTCTAATACAATCAATTACATTTGATCCAACTCATTGGTCATTAAGTTCAACAATGGGTGATGCGAATTATATTATAGTATACAATATACTAAGTAATGGGAAATAAACAGCTCTTAGCTACATTACAGTATTTAATTTTATGTTTGTTTTTGCAACTTTTGCTAAGGCAGCTCACTAGTTAGAACCTAGAATTTCAAAGCAGATGTTTCGAATTAGGGCCTGTTTGGTTGCTTTCCTTCATTTTCCAAATACATATTTCCTTCTTCTTTTTTTGTGTTTCCTTCACTTTCATGGAAAGTAATTCTTCTGTTTGTTTTGCCAAAAAACATGTGGTAAAAATAGTTTCCACAACTTTTCTTAGTTTGGTTCAACTTGAAAAAAAAAGAGAAAGCGATTGATGTGTGAATAGATTCCCTTATTTTCTAGTGTTTGGTTCAAACGGAAAAAAAAGGAAACCATGCATGATTGTGGTCACCATGATATGCTTACCACCCATATAAGACAAAATTATCGGCAACAAAAATTGAGAGTCAACGTACTTACCATCACACAAAAATATTTAAAGAGGTGAGAGACTAGTTTGCAAAAATGTTTAGAGATTTAGGTAGTAATTTGTAAAATATTTAAAGATTTGAGGAATTAATTTCAAAATATGAATATTAATTTGATGGAGAAATTTCAAAACATTTAAAGATGTGAGGGACTAATTTTAAAATGTGAGGGACTAATTGAAAAATGTTTTGGGATTAATTTCAAAATCTGAATATTTAAGGGAGAAAATTCAAAATCTTTAAAGATTTCAGAGACAAATTTTAAATTTGAGGTTGTAATTTACAATATATTTAAAGATTTAATGAATTAATTTTAAAATATGAACATTTAAGGGAGTAATTTGCATAATATTTAAAGGCGATCGAAAAATTTTAAATGATAGCTAGTTTTCACTTTTAACTAGTGAACTTGTGAGATAACATATAGGATCATATTCACTACAGATATATGACAGTCCACTATTCCAACACACTACTCTTTGAATCCAATCCCCAAACAAACCATCCAGACTCAAGATTGACTAAGAAAAGGAACTTATTCATCTTCCCCTCTTCCCCTAAATTCTAACTATTCCTCTCCATCTCAAAAGTTCTCATCACTTCTTTTCCCCCTCTCAAACTTGGAATCTGCCACGGACAAAGAGAAGAAGCTCTCATTCTCATTCACCTCGGAGCTCCTCTCCTCTCACCCTTCCTCCTCCAAACGCCCCCAAGCCCTTCGATCCCATGAACCCCTCACATCCTCCTCAACCTCAAAACCCCCAATTCATCATCATCTTCAACCCCTCCCAAACCTTAACTGAGCCCTCCTCCCCTACTAGTCATCGCCCTAATCCCTAACTTCTCCGACTTCTGCTTTGTCAACATCAAGAAGACGAAGATACTATTTTTTCCAAATTTTGACTAGGGTTTTTCTCCATGAAAAAGCAATGGAGGCGGGAGAAGAAAAGAGAAAACAATGAAATTAGAGGGAGAGGGTGCGGTAAATGTAATTCTACCATTGTTCTCTCTTTATCCCAGCAAGAACAATAACAACAATAAAGTCTCTATCCTAAATATTTGGGGTCGGCTACATGAATCATATTCTTCCATTTTACTCTATATGGGTCATCTCCTCTGTTGAGCTAAGCATCATCATATCTTTCTTGATTGCTTCTAACCAAGTTCTTTTAGGTCTACCTATAGATCTCTTTGTTCCATTAACTATAATATCATCAATTTTCCTAATGTGTTCACTAAAATACTTACAATGTACATGACCATACCCCCTTAATCAGTTCTCTCTCATTTTATCCTCAATAGGAGCAACCTCTAATTTACTACGGATACATTCATTTATTATCCTAACTTTTAACGTATACCCACTAGATCATCTCAACATTCTTATTTTTGCTATGCTCATCTTTTGCACATATTATTTTTTTAATTGCCCGACATTCCGAACCATAAAGCATTGTTGGTTTTATAACTTTCCTATAAGTCTCATGGATATTCTACGATCATACAAGGCTCCCGAAACATTCCTCCATTTTAACCATCCTAATTTAATTCGATTAACAAACATCATCCTCAATCTCACGATCTGCCGAATAATTAATCTTAAATAATGAAATTGATTACTTTTAGCTATCTCTTAGCCATCAATATGTACTATAGTCTCTTTTCTTCTTTTATTTTCTCCTTCGTTAGTTCTTACTGCGGCTATTACTCTATAATACATATCTTTAATTACATCAATATATAAACTAGATATGTGTTTCTTTTTTTAAACACACCATATTACCTCCATAGGTACTCTATTATAAGCTTGTTCTACATCAATAAAAACCATGAGTAAATCCTTTCTTTTTTTCATATATTTCTCCATCAGCCTTCTCAAAATATGTATGGGCTCCATAGTTAACTTCCTGGCATAAAATTGAATTGATTTTTAAATACACTTGTCTCTTTTCTTAGCATTTGTTCAACTACCCTCTCCCAAAGTTCTATGGTATGACTCATGAGTTTAATACCATGATAGTTTGAATAACTTTGTATATCTTATTTATTCTTATATATCGGTATCAAAGTACTAATCCTCTACTCATTAGGCATTCTCTTTGCCTCAATTATATTCTTGAATAATTTGGCCAACCATCATAATCCTTTCTCTAAGATTTTTCCAAACTTCAATGAGGATATTATATGGTTCTACGGTTCTTTCATTTTTTATTTTATTTAGAGCATCTTTTACCTCGCTAGCCCTAATTTTTTAACAATATCTATAATTTCTATCATTCTCTATACTGTCAAATTCTCTATGTTGCTCGCCTATTTGATTATCATTAAATAATTTACGAAAGTAACTCTTCCACCTCTCTTTTATTTCCTCATCCGTTACTAGAACTCTTTAATCCTCACTCTTAATCAACCTAATATTACCCAAGTCCATACTTTTCCTTTCTCTTATCTTAGCAAACTTATATACATGTATGTATGTACACACACACACACACACACACACACATATCATACTCTCTTTAAAAGAGAGAGTTGTAGAAAAACTTTCCAATGATTATATTACCCCTATTCTTTTTTGATATTACATTCTAATATTAATTAAACTAAATTAATTATTATTATCAATTAATTATATTATATATCACTTTGAGTTTATATAATTTGGTCCCTAAAACATTCAACGTTATTGTAAAAGTCTACATCATATTA